AGAGATAAACTTAGCAAACATCTATGTGAATTATTCCCTTTCACAGATGATGCTACTGAATGAATCCTACATAGGTGAAAATATTTTCCCAGTGTGACATAGAGAATAAGATAGGCAGCTGGGACCAATGCAAGGTGTTCGTTCTCCTTTGTCATGATTTTCAGTGACAAAGAAGAAGCCATATTGTTTAAGAATCCATATTTATATTGTAGGACGATTCCAACAAAAGACTTTAATTTCTGTAGACTCCTCAACTGTACCAGCCGCGCCGACCTTGTTCTGGCAGCGCCGTACCCTCTCCTCCTATAAGGAGCAGGCTGCCAGAGTCATACTCACTCACAAGTCTTCGGTACTCAGCCGGATAAACACACAGAGACGAGCCATCGGGAGGCACCAACACCAGAGCTTTATTCAGAAGCCATCACAGCAAGCCCAAGCAGCAAGGCCAGAGCAACAGAGCAGGAGCCAAGAGAGAGCACGTGATCTGACCACGCTCGTCCTCAAGTACCTACTTAGCCCCTCCTCCCCAGCCCGCTTACTAGCCATTGATTATAGGGACAGACACCAGAAGGGGCTGTCTGAATTTAGCACACCAAGGGAGAGGGAGTGACATAGGAGGCTAGGACCGGATACAGGAAGGAGGCGTCTGGGATTAGTGCTACACAAAGGGACCCAGGAAGTCAGGAAGGTCACAGGAAGGAGGCGTCTGGGGTTGACGTTGCATATAGGGAGGGGACTAAGCAAAGGGAACTCAGTCCTCTGCTGTCCCACTCCCACGTGGCACCGCCCCTTGCCTCAGGAGCACAAGCTCCGGCTACTTCCTTGCACCCAGCTTATCTCACATAGCACTGCCCACTGCCTCAGGGCTTCTCTGTACCCAGCCCATCCCAGTTCACCACGACTCCGCCTACCACAGCCCCTGCCTCGACTTCCAGATACCCAGATCTTACCCTAATCTTGCCACAGCGCTCACCTGGTAGTTGCCAACATAGACAGTCCCTCACACTCAACGGAATATCAGAATGTGTTAACACAATCCTAACACAACCCCTATTGTAATCTTCTATTTTAGTTATCACAACTTTGTATCAGCTATTCACCACATAAAGCTCTGTGTATACTTATATCTCTACATGTGGACATATATATGTACACATATGTATTTATATATCCTCATATTCTGTGATGTGTGCATTAATATACAGTATATAAAATTCAGATATAATATACATAACATACAGTATATAGTGTGTGCATATGTTGCTCATGCAATATGTATATCATCAATCTGTGTATATGAGTATGGATATAATAGTGTCTAATTGATATGTCAAATAGCAAGTATATGCATGTGTACATATATAGGCATGTTGTGTGCATATATACACATATATGCACACTATGTATGTGATTATACACATATGTATATAAAGATGCATATGGCCAAGAATGCAAATGAACTTATAAATTGCAGAAAGAAGAGAGCAGAATGTATTGACCTTGGGAAATTGAAAAGTTATTTTGATGACTACAAGTTTCTTACCTAGACAAAGGTCTATATTATTACTAACCACATTCTTCCAATATTGTTGTATGTCTTTGAATCACAGAATACTATAGTCTCCAAAGAATTGAAATTAAGTATTAAGCATTACCAAAAGGCCAATGTGGAAAGGCTTAAGGTATAGTGAGCAGGCTGGAGCACATTACAAAAAAAGAATTACGAAGGATTGATGTAAAGGATATCATCAAGGAAATATATGAGCAGAAAAGATAGCAAAATGGGATGACAGTGGGCATATAATATACTCCACTGATATCCTCCCAATTAAAAAAAAAGTGCAATCACCATCATATTGGTTGGACCACCTGTAATGAATTTATCAGAAGACATGGACTAATATTACAAAATGTGCTAGTATGAATGGTTTGTGCTTTGTATCACTGATGGGAATATTCACATAATGAGGCCAAAGATTCTTTGGACTATTACTGTTAACAATGTGTTGGTATCTGTTTCTGTTGAGTTGTTTTCAGATAAAGAAAATGAGATTCAGTAGGTTGACTGACCTACTGAATAGCCTGCATAGCTGGAAAATGGCAAAGTCAGGCCATAAGCCCAAATTCTATGCTCTTTCTACCATACTGTCATGTCTCCATAAAGGGCTGTCATGTCATCCCAAGGAGAATGATGACATGTGCCTCCTTGTGTATGCCTTCTGCTATTAAAAAAAAATCTTAGCACTTTTTAGTCTTTATTTCTTGTTAAGATGAAAGTATTTATCCTTTAGTTATTTTACTGATGCAAGATTTGTCACAGTCCACAGAATTAATCTAGAAAGTGATGAGAATGATGATATGTGCCAAGTATATATGCTTTTTGAGGAGCAGGTGCCATTTCATTTTGCCTTTGCCTTTTCATTTCTAACACCTAGTACAGTACTTGGCACTGTGACCTCTGCCCTTTGGTTGAGATGCTAGAAATCAATGGTCATAACTAACTTTTAGTCAGACATTGCTGAACAATGAGATTTCCCAAGTCAAACAGAGTTTTAAAAGTATATTATTTTTACTAGCAGAAGGCATTGTTAGAATGGGATCAGGCAGGATACTCTTGGAGGGAAGGGGACACTCACAATTAACCAATTAAACACATGATGCTACAACCACATAGAAGCAAATGAGCTCTAAGTTATTCATTCAAAAAGCTGCAGTCCTTTTAAAATATAAACCAAAGTTATAGGCTTTTGTAGAACGAAATTTAAAAGGACTATTGAAATACACATGTGTATATTTGTATATATATGTATATGTATATGTGTATTTCCATAGATTTTCAATACTGTGATTTAGAGTTTACTAATTCATTTTCTTCATACCTGACAAACTAGCATCAGAGATCATGACATATGGGTCTCTATGTGAGTATATAAAAAAAAGTTAGAATGTGCATAGTTATAACAGCATTTATACTAGCTGAAAAAATAGCCCATTTGAGACATTTCTTTTTTTCTGTTTTGTTTTTTTTTTTATTCTGAAAGCTTAGTGAAGTAACATGGTATCACAGTTTGAGGGAAAAGTTTTCATTTCACTATAATTTAACATTTAACAAATCTAGTCATTTTTGATTTTTAACAAAGTAATTATAAAAATAATTTTACATTTATAAAATAAATCAGCATTTCACAATAAATTATTCATTTTCATTATATGAAAAGAGTTTTCACTGTATAAAATAGATAATATTGTTTATTTATAAATTGAAAATATCCTGAAACCTTTAATGTGCCTATGCTTAACCTTTTTATTTTGGCAGTTCAATATATAAAAATATTCTATCATATATATTCCCTGATGAGATTGAATTGTGAAAACCCAATCTTATAAGCTCAATAGTGTAGGGTTGCTTGGTAAATTTATCTGGATATGTTTATATAATATACTAAATTTTTTTTTCTATATTATATATTTAAGTCACATTCCAATGTGTCTAAAAAAGAGAACAGTATAAAAAAGAATCAAAAGTTAACAAAAAGGCAAAGCTGCCTATGTAGATCAGAGAATCCTTACACATACCAAAAGGAAATACTCTAAAAACAAATATCCAAAAGTTACAAGCTCAGATAATTTTTTTCTTCTTACCCTTACAGGTATATTTAGCAATCCACAAAGGATGACATTTTATTTAAAGGCATTTTGTGGATTTCTATGAAATCACTCTGAGTTTTGAAGGTTTCTGTTTTCTAAAACTTAATTCCACCTGAAGAGCCAGTGAATTAGCTGATATATTAATGAAGTCATTCTGAGAATCACAGCTATGGAATGGCCAGAGTTCCTTCTGTAACCTTCATGCTAATCCAGACTGGGCTTGAAAATTGACAGGTAGAAAATTGTTTCTGGGTTCAACCCAATAATGTTTTCTTACTCATTGTTGTGGTCATGATAATGACTAAATGTTAATAATTACTAAGTGCATAACATAAACATTTTGAATTGTCCTATTAAAGGATGAGGATACTTTTTTTTTTCAGATAAGAGAAGAGCACAGTTACCTCTGGAAACTGCACTATGCCTTAATATGACAGGTATGAGATTCACTTAGGCTCCTTGCCATGTGTTATTTGAAAATCTACTGAATTGAATGGGTTTCTCTATTAAAATTTCTTTAAATCACTGCAGATATTTCCTTCTTTTGCTTTCCTTAGAAATTTAAGATTTTTTTTTCTAGAGAGTAGAGAAGTGTGTTTTTAAAAAATGTGTGTTAAAAACATACAAATAAATGCTATGGCTCATTCATTTATCAGTGAACACACATACACACACATGTTCACACATACATACATATACAGTGCAGCTCAAGTATTGCATGTTCCCACGCTTCTTTGAACTTTTTTAAGTGAATGACTTATGCTTCTTGAATTCTCCAAACAAGTTAAACCTAGCAGGAGATGTTTTTGGATCAAATACATGGAACTGTTAAGTCAAACAATGACTACAAGTTATATTTTTTTAAATGAAATTGGCTCCATTATACAATAACTGCTTTATTTACTAATCTACAAGTTTATAATTTATCAAGCTTTGGTTCATGTTTTAACTGAGGCTTTCTAGTCGACTATTCACAGCAAAAAAGTACACTTAGTTCTGCATCTTGTCTCTATGAAGAAATTATTTACAGATTTAAAAGAATATTAAGAAGGTATATTCAAGTTGTATATCAGATTTAACTAGTTCCAAAATTGTGCAAGGGCAGTGAGAAAATATACACGACTAAGAACAAGTTAAAATGTTATATCCAAACTCAGAGTTGTATTATTACTTTGTGTCTTAAAGCTTTCAACGATTTAAAAAAAAAATAGATAATAGGAAACCCTCTTAAAACAGCACCATAATCTTTTGGCCAAGGGTTAGCCTTAATCACTATTCTGAGATATTTCTAATATCACCTTTATTCACATTTAAGCAGTGCATATTAAAAAATTAAAATGCAACAATTATTATCACAATTGCTTTTGTTTGGGGATAGACTGATGTGAAATGACTGAAGCCTGGTTTGTGGGCATTTTGTACTGTTCTTGTCCAGAGCCTTGTGGTGGGGAAGGTAGTGGAGTTTCAGGAGTTGCTGTAAAAGAAATAAAAATTTGTTCAAGAAAACTAATTGAGAATATTGATAACATTTTGAGAACATATCATAACATTGCACATTGTCCAGGACTATCTCAACATATGGTATTTTATGTGGTAAAAGTACCTGTAAAGATTTTGCATAATGTGGAAATTTGAAAAATGAAAGACATTTGTCTTTTGTTTCTATTAAACTTTTAGGGATAAATAGCTACATAAAAGTTCTGAAGTCAAAATAAAAGTCATATTACGAATCTTAACATTCACATTCTTTAAAACACAAATGTTCACTTAATTCTCTGAGTACCTCATGTAGAAAAAGCTTATCATGTGAACAATAATGAAATCATAGAAGCTTATAATCTTAAACAACCAGCTACTATCTTTGCATTAATTAAAAAATCCATATAATAAAACATTACTAATTTAGATTTTACTTATTCAGAATTTTTAAAAGTTCATACATGAAGTGTGTTTGCTTAGTAAGCTAACAATGCAAATGGAAAATAACCGGCCTACAAAAAGGTTAATAAATATAGTAAGTCATATTTCTATACTGCTTTAATATTTGCAAAGTATTTCCCCACAACCCACTAGTTAAGTAGTACAAGTTTTATTATCCTGATTTTGTAGATGAGGAAACTGAGCCTCTGAAAGTTTAAATGACTTACCTAGTCACACAACTGTTGAGTGTCTGAGGCAAAATTTAAGCCCAGCTCTCCTAATTAAAAGCCCCTTTCTCATTCCACTAGTTATTTTGTCATTTTAGTCCTGTCCAACTATCTGCAACTCTATTTGAGGTTTTCTTGGCAAAGATACTGCAGTAATTTGCAATTTCCTTCTCCAGCTCATTTTACAGAGGAAGAAACTGAGGCAAAGAGGGTTAAGTGATTTGCCCAAGGTCACACAGGTAGTAAGTATGTGAGGCCAGATTTTATCTCAGGTCTGCTTCATTCTACTACACCGCACAGCTTTTCAGGCCCCAGGAAGCCATTTTGTATGAAAAATCTTCAACTAAGCCACAAATGATTCATATCCATTTATTAAAAACATTTTGAAAAATGACATTATTCCTTTTTCTCTCCTTATCTTTCTGGAATAAAAGTATCTATGTTTCTTTTAAAACATTTTATAACTGATTCTTCCATTGTATGACATTCTCTCTAGTTAAGATGAATTAAGAGAGACTTTACTATAAAACTAAATTATTGTAACTTAAAATGAATTCCCCCTAGTCATTTGTTATTAGTAATGATAGGAAGCAGAAGGTATAGACTTTGTCATCTTGACTAGGCCACTACTCAACAGAGAACAGAACTTGGCAGAAGCGAGAGAACATGGGGGACAGCTAGGTGGCACAGTGGATAGACTACCAGCCCTGGAGTCTGGAGGACCTGAGTTCAAATCCAGCCTCAGACACATAACACTTACTAGCTGTGTGACTCTGGGCAAGTCAGTTAAACCCAAATGCCTCACCCCCAAAAAAAGAGACAGAGAGAGAGGGAACACATGGGCTCTGGAGTGAGAGAACCTGCCTCTGCTTACTTTTTCCTAATTAGGTAAGTCCTTTCAACTTTTCTACCTTGATCTGTAAAATGAGGGCACACTAGATGCTGTTGAAAGTGTCTTCCAACTCAAGATGCTAAGAAATGAATTTAGAATCTGGGGGGAAAAAATGTAGCTTGATGCTTTGTTGCCAAACACAGAAGTAGTAAAATCAGTTAATAATCGGCTATTATGTGCTACTAAAAAAGAAAAAAAAAATAGAAGGTGCTCATTCTTCAGCAAAGTCTGACTTCTTTGTTAACCTTAGTAAATGAATTCCCTATTATTTTTAAGTGTGCCATCATTGGCTATTAAAAAACTATAGACGCAAAAAACTATAAATATAAAACTATAAATATAAAACTATAGTGGGTAGAGCACCAGCCCTGAAGTCAGGAGGACCTGAGTTCAAATGCAGCCTCAGAAACTTGACACTAGCTGTGTGACCCTGCGTAAGTCACTTAACCCCAATTCCCTCACCAAAAAACAAACAAACAAACAAACAAAAAACTATAGATAATATGTTAGAGGCCTTAGTTTGCCTTTTGGCTATTATCTATGGATTTATGACTTTGGGGGCAATACGATGTCTAATGGAATCCTGGATAATGTATTTGTGTATGAGATTTAGATGTTTTAAGTTAAATCAGTTTCTTAATTTTTCAAATGCACAAAACCAAAAATATTACAAGTGAACAAATATGATATAAAGTGATCTCATGCTAGTTTGTAAGAAAAGAAAAAAAAAGGAGAGGCTGGAGAGGTTTAAATATTATTTGGAAACCAGATCTAGTTTTCAGAAAGTAGAAGACTAATTTTTTTTTAATTATTGGGAAAATATAGATTCTCTAGCTAATGGTAGGATAAACTGGTCATGTTAGTTGTTATTTTTTGATACTTATGAGTATGTTGGCATGATTTGTTTTCAAAGTTTATGAAGAACTCAGATCACTCAGGAATATCATTGCCATAGACTCCTGTGTGGCTTTGGGCTAGTTAGAGAAATTCTCCTTCTCAGTTGCTCTGGACACAAAATACAGAAACGAGTATATTCCTTGGAGAGATGAAACAAAATTAATGTTTCTAAGCTACTCTATAGACCTACTGATGTCATATACTTTCTAAAATTGTTATCTTTTAGGAACTGTGGTTAAATTATATTGAAATTGACTACTTAGTACCATGAGTTTATAAGTAATAGTATTTATATTAATGGAAACATTAAAATAAAACCATTATCTCAGTGACTGAAGTAGTTTGACATACAGGTTGGATGTTTTAAGGAATTTGGGATTAGTCATATCTTGGCACCCATTCAGAAGAGGATGCTTATGATATTAGTCATAAAATTAGAAGATTGCTATCCCATCAAGAGATTAGTGTAATGTAACTGGTTCCTGTGGCTTCCAGAGATATAATGTGTTCAGATCAGAGGAAAATATTCAGTAATGAATCGTTGTATTGATTGAGTACTTTTAGCTTCAAAGTATTTTCATATTATCTTATTTTATTCTCACAACAAACATGTCAGTTAGAAAAGGGCAGATTGCCTCACTGTCATCTTTTAACAGGTCAATTCAGATTTAAGGAAGTTAACTGACTTGCTAGATGACCCCCTGCCAGGAGGTCCTTAAACAGAGATCAGAAAGTAAGTTTGTTTGTTTTTTTCTTCTAGCCTGGGCTCTTTTCACCAAATGCAAAGGATTAACAGATCAAAAGCTTAAGAGACACCATGATGGAAAATTCGCTTGTGACTTACAGATCTGTTCTGTATGCACTGGAGTTGACATAGAGCTTATAAGTATAGTTTGCCCGGTTAATGGATCCTGGGATAAATGAGGATGCACGGGATGATGAAGATGGCTAGTATCATTAGAAGCACCTAAAAATATAATGAACATGCCAGTGTTAGTGATATTTGTGAATAGTAAGTTCACTTCAGACCAAATATTCTTATTGGCATCTCAGATATTGCTGTTATTGCAAATGGCCTTTTGGGAATTCAATAATAAATTAACGGGAACACTATCATTTTAAGTACAATGCCTGCTTCCACTGTACACTGCTTAAATTAATATTGTATTTTATAATGCTTTATATTAATATAGGGCCTTGTGTATCTCTTCCTGGAATCACTATGAAACTTGCTTGCCATTAAGGGAATTCTAAGAACTACTAATCTCTGGTTAGTAACATTTGACATAATCCTAATATCATGAGCCCTCTATATTTTAGAAGAAGAGCATAAGGATATGCCATAAACATCACATAAAATTAAGCAGAAAATAATACAGGAGGGGGTGGAATTTTTACAGTGAATTTAATCTAGATCAAAATAAAGAATTTTTTTCAAATGGTCTCAACTAACTCCTTGCATTAAATGTATTGATGCAATGTCTGATTTATTTTTCTCTTTCAGTGCTTGCTTAATAATTCCTGCTACTCATTGAATTGCTTTAAAGGGTATTTATAATAAATTATTATATGGTATTGCAATTTCAGTGTCTTTAATGTTGTAAATTAGCAGTGCAGAGATCCAAAAGAAAAACTGTGACATTCTTGGTGGTGATGTAAAAAAAAAGTTAATCACATTGACCATGTTTTGAAGGGTGTGCCTACTGTGAAAAGTCCATGTGAAGCGAAGGTGACATAACTAGTGTTCATATGAATATAGTTCAAATATCTTTGTCCCCATACAATCACAAAACTTTCTTCAAAACATACAAAATTAAATTCCACATACTTTAACAAAAGGAAAGAAAAAGCACTCATAGAAATTTTAAAGAGCAAAATCCATATCGCCAAAAGATAAAGAAAGCAAACTAATCCATAAGTACTTAATACAGTGTTAATGAGTGTCATAGAAATTCTTATGTTTAAAATATGTTTACCTCCTAGTAACATTTCCTGAAGTAAATTGTCAATTTTAACCATCCCAAACAGTTTGACAAATTGTATTTGCTCAATCATTTGCCAAGTGATGCTCTGCAGTGTAGGCAGGAGCAAAAGCAGTTCACCAAACCTTCCCCTGGAATCGTATTGTCTGTCATTGATGTAGTCTTCTAAACTGATCTGGACTTGGAATCGCATATTTTTTATTTTCACTGGGTCACTTAATCCTTTTGCATCTGAAAAAAAAAGGAAAGAAATTGACAAGTTGGAATTGTACAAAGAAAGTCAATATGGCAAAGTAGATAGGGTGCTGAACTTTGAACCAGGAAGACCTGGGTTAAAATCCTGCTTCTGACACTCAGTAGTTGGGGGTCCTTGGTCAAATCAGTTAACTTCACTGAACCTCAGTCTTCTTCTGTGTATAATAAAAGGATTGAACTTAGATCAATCCTTAGGCCACTTAGATCCCTTCCAGCTTTAAATCTATTATGATATGATATTTTAGCATTTGAGTTGAGCATAGCATGACAAAGAATATTATATCACAGTAGAGTCAATTCAATAAATTATTTCATCTTGATTTTCTTTTGAAAAGCACTTCTGAAAACAAACCTGGATCAAAAAATACAATTGCCTTCAGACAAGCATATTCATTGTCATCGATCTGAATTTCCTGAAATGGGCGGACTAGCTCATCGAGAACGCGATTGGCCACACGACTGATCTCCACTTCACAGCTGTTCCGATGAATGATGTAGTTGTTACCTGGGGGGAAAACATATTAGAAACAATATATCATCATCAAGTGTTTTCTTTTTTGTAAATCCAAAGTACGTTTAAAATGGTTAAACTTCAGAAGATTCCAGCAAACACTGCCAACTACTAGCATACACACACACACACACACACACACACACAAAAGTTCAGGTAAAAATATTCAAAAACTCATAATGGATCAATAATATTTATAATGTGATTGCATGTATTTGAATAGCTTCAGTCACTGGTGATAACACTAGAGAGCAGGCTAAGAATGAGCTAAGAATCTGCAAAGGAAAGCAAAACATAATGATTAACTTTTGGTTCTATCAGTCATCTCTCAGTGTCTAAGTCATTAATGAAGAATACATAAAATCCAAAGAGCCCTTAGAGGTTACACTGAAGGAAAATAAAAGCTGAGACTGCTTTGGGTGCTAGATGTGCTTCCAAATAATCGCTATTGCATGACAGTTCTCAGAAGCAGAGGAAAATGGTTTTAACTTTCAAAGATTAACACAATTCTCAGCCTAGTTAAACTGAATACTTGTGTACCTTTTAATTCTCCCATTCTGTAACTACAAGTGATGGATTAAATTATGTAATAAACAGTGGACTATTAACATCAGGTAATCATTTATTAATGAAATGTGAAGAAATAGAGGTCATCATCCATATGAAGTAAATCTTAGTGGGAGGATATATGCAAACTCATTTATAAACCTTAAAACATTATAGAAATGTTAGCTGTTCTTAGCAGTGGTATTAATTGCTCAGGTACCCATACAAAGGTGATGTTTCATATTTCCTTTTCTGTCTGCTGTGAAAAGTCACTTACCTAAAAAAGCCAGGGTAAAGCAGCTTACGAAGGTTTAGTGACAATTCCTCCCCACCACAACAGTATATTTAGCTCCATGATGATAGAATTTTGTTGAGGTTCAATATTGATTTTAATGTTTAACAACTGGCTTTCCAAAAACGCAACCCACTTTTAAGTTTAATCTTTACTATTAACATGTCCTCTTTATCCTTGCTTAAGTTGAGACAAACAACAAAATGAATCAATCCCTGATTTGTAGTGTTAGCCAATTTTTGTGGTATAAATGCTCACACTGAACATTTAACCATCAGGTTCCAAGAAGTGGTATGAGCTGGATCTAGTACGCCTCTGCAGTACTAAGCTTGCCTTTATATTTGGTGACTCAGTTATAACTAATAACATACTAAAGACATTGCACAAATGCCAGGGGGGAGGGTTAGGCAAACAAGTATATCATCCTTAGAAAAGTCTTCAACAATTTTACTGACGAGTCTCCTTAGTAGGCCAAGGCATCATGGATACATTGAGGAGATTATTTTCACAATGCTGACAAAAGCTATTTACTTCTCTAGCATGTATTACTGCTGGATGGTAAATATTAATACTTCTTCTTCCCCTTTTCTGTTTAAAAATGAACCTGTATAGGTCTGATCATCTATAATGTGACTGATTTTTTTTCCTTTGGATTGATACAGATCATTTTGATCATTGAAATTGGAAGAGATGAACATGTACTTTGTACATGCTTTTAGGATAATAGAATCATAGATTTGGAACTGAAAGGGACCTTGGAGGTACCTAGTCTAAATACTTCATATCACTGATAAGGAAACTGAGGCTCAGAGAGTTTAGGTAATTGCCTATGTTCCCAGAGTTACTAAATAGTAGAGCAAAAATTTGAACTCATATCCAGCACTCTTTCTACTGTTCCATGCTTCTTCAAAAACCATTCTACAACAATTATAATTATTCAACAGAAACTAGATTAGATAATACACAGAACCATTGCATTTTTAGAATCATAAAGTTACAAAGGACTTTAGAGGACATCAACCAAACTGGACTCTGCATTCAGCAATAAACACAAAATTTGGATTTGAAATTCTTCACTGTGTGTGCTGATAGTACTTGCAATATTTGTGGTATCAGAGTAATCATCTCTATTCTCAAAACTCCAAACAAATAGGTTTATTAATCATGGTAAAAATATCTGGAATTGTAAATTAATTTATTAATCCCACAGAAATCTATTTAATCCCAAACATATGCAAGAAAATGTGCCAGGCCTTAATGTGCATGATGATACTCACTAGATACTTACCCAAAAGTAAGATGTCTTTATAAATCATGGATCGCTTTGTGGCACCAAGTAGCAGGTGCTCTCCTGCATGTGCTCTTAAAAGTGCAACCTTAATGAAAAAGATAAAGATCATAGTTATTAATTATTGTTACAATTTAGTATTTATACAGTACTTTATGGTTTATAAATCATTTTACAGATAATTTGATCTTCAAAAAAAATCCTACTCATTAGATGCTATTATTATTTCCATTTAAAGTTCATTTACTTTCCCACAGTCACTCAGCTAGAACGTATCTGAGTTAGTATTTGAACCCAGATCTTCCTGACTCCAAATCCAACACTCGATCCACTATGCCTTCTAGTTCCTTAATAATCATACTAAGTAACAAATAAAAATCTAATGTAATAAGAAACTGATAAACTTACAGACTGCTGAGTTCCTGGCAGCCCATTAGTTGTTTTAACTAACTAGAATAATCAAAATGTCCCAGCATTCTGGCCTTAAAATCAGGACCCTGGGGCTACCAATCTCCCAATAATAATCTTTTAATTTCTATTTAATATATTCATATTAATCATCATTAATTCATATCTTTATCTTCTCAGCAAACACTTATTAAGCACTCACCCTGTGTTAAGTTATTGTGTGAGGTACAGGGCACAATGACTATAACTGGCGATCTAATAAATGCCTCACACTTAATGAAGGAAGCACAATGTCTGTACATTAGTAAATGGAAGCTACTTCTAGAATGTGGTTTCATTTCTACATTTAAAGAACATTAATAAGTCTTATATTTTATCAGAATGTATAATCAAAATGTATCAGAAATCATCAGCTTCTCAGGAGGGATATCAATGAAAAAAAAATACGACATATAAATGTTAAAATCCTTTTCGTGTTGTTTAGATTATGATACTGGCATGTCTCAGCATTTTCACGATCCAAACTCTAACAAAACCTGTAGAACAAAGCTATCTTTATGACAGGTCAATAAATGTGATTCATACCAGGAAGGTAGTTAAGAGGAACGTTTTAAAAATCATTCTAAATTTTTTAGTTCTCACCATTTGGTGAGAAGCTTTCTTCGAAATTTAAGTTAAACTTTCCATGAAAATTTATTTTTCAGATGTGTAAATATATATTTTTTAATTTTTTTCTGTGATTTTAAAGGATTTTAGACTCTTCCTTTTTTTTTTTTACTTCCTTAATTCTGGGCCACAAAGATAAAGATCATTTGTAAAGGGTGTGACATATTACCTGGGGATATTAAGTACAGGAGAATGAGGAGAGCATAGATTTTTTTTTAGCTATATCATATAAGAGAAATGATTAACTTATTAGAAACAAGATATGGAGGGTTTTTAAATGTATGTGAAACTAAATATCTCACTTGAATTGCTCAACAGATTTTATAAAACCATCGCCTTCAGTTTAAGAACATTGGACAACACTTAGAGGAAAAATACTTTCAAATTTGATACTTCTTACATTCTTTCTTTTCTGAAAGTTGTCAATATAACAACATCTTTAAAAGACTCATGCAAAAGCCAGTAAATCATTCACACCAATGAATACTAGGAAAGAAACATCTAAATGCTAACAGAGCACAAGAAGAAGAATGTGCTGCCCATACACTGGGTACTCACAATGTTTTGTGACAGTGACCTGAAGTGGGTTTTGTACCATGCTGACAAATCTATTTGAGTATCCTCATAGCCTAATAACTTGAGATCCACATTGAATATCAACATTTTGAGGGCCTTTCCTTCTACTACCCATTTCTCCCTCACTGAGAACTAGAATATCTATAATATTTTGAAGAACTGAGTCAGATAACATCAGAGCTGTTAAGTTACTTTAGAGATCATCTGGTTGAATGCTTGCACACTGTAGATGGGGAAACCAAGTCACAGAGAAGTTAAATGATTTATTTACTCATAGTCACACATCTGGTTGGAGGCCAAATCAGACTGAAAGTCTGGTATTGACCTAGTGCTCTTTCCATTCTGCTCTGAGGCCTACCCACCCTTGTTATTTAAATAGAATCCCAAAATTGGAAGGCACTTCAGATGTCAAATAATTCAACTTTCACCTGAACCATGAATCTCCTCTATAACATTCCTGACAAGAGGTCAACCAATTTTATTTACCAAGCTTACTACAGCTAGGACTAAAACAACCTCTAAGATTTCCTTTGCACAAGAAATTTCAGAGCTCTCCAAAGTGTACATTTTTTTAAAAAAATGACATTATGATCTTTACTCTATGACATTCTGTTAAGAAGTTTTAACCCAAGTAATTCTTTAACTTACTAGAAAAAAAAGGAATAACCAATATCCCTCTGAGTCCTAGAAACAGCCAATAGCAGCATTATTTGATGATTGCTTTAAGTGTACACACACACTCCCCCCCACACAAAAAATATTCATTTAAATTGATCAAATAACCATATATACATTTTCTTTAGGATCTCAGGAAAAAAGTAAATGTCTGCTTATTGGCTCTAGGAAAATTCTTTAAACCTCATCTGAAATAATAAAGGCTGCTTGTCAATCTACCTGAATGAACAGAAATATTTTAGCCCAACAATTCACGTGTGGTTTTCATGATTGGCTTAATGTATACCTGATCATCCAATGGTAACTCACAGAAGGCAGGGATATATTTAGCCCACTCCACCAGGACTAATAGTTGCTGCTTCATAGATTCACAGACATCACCAATACTAGCAATTTTCTTAACATTTATGTCAGTATTTGCACTGGGGTTTGAAACTGGAATCTAAGAACAAGAAAAATATTCCATTTAGCAGTTATATAAAATATTTTTAAACTCAGTATTTCCATTTGCTAATTGTTGATTTAAGCAGAAGCCACTGAAGCTATAATCATCAAAATAAAAATACCTTGAAATTATGTAAAAGTTTGCTCATTGCCTTCCTCTGTGAGGTTGTTCAAAAGGGAAATTCAATTCAACAACAGTGAATGAGAACCTACTACATGCAAAGTCCTCTGTTATGTCTATGTTATGTCTGTTATGTTTATAAGGTTACTTGATACTGCATCACACGTAGTTCAGTTATTTTGCTGCTAGTACATATCTTGTTTTTTATCTGCTGCCCAACTTATCTTTCTAGCCTCACTACAATTAATTCCCTTCTCACACTCTGTTATCCATCTAACTAGGTTCCCTTTCTATTTTACACACAGACACAGACACACACACACATACACACACACACACACACACCTCCCATCTCCATCTTTTTGCAATGGCATTCCCCATGTCTGAAATGTATTCTCTCCTTCCTTTCCTTCTACCTCAGAGAATTCTCATCCTTTAAGAAGTAGATTAAGTAACATTTTCTGAATGAAGTCTTTCCTGCTCTTCAAAACTCTTTCCCTGTGAAACGATCCTGCATTTAACTATTCTGCATTTATCCTCAGATTTATTCCACTGTACTGACTTCATTGTTGTATGCCTGTGAAACCTGGACGGTCTACAAGTGCTATGCAAGAAAACTGAATTCCATTTGAATTGCGGTGGGAAGATTCTGAAGATTACCTGGCAAGATAAGGTACCCAATACTAAGGCCCTCACTTGTGCTGAACTGCCAAGCATTCAAACTCTGTTGCAGAGAGTACAACTCAGATGGGCTGGCCACGCAGCCTCAATAAAATGGACGTTTACCTAAAAGACTATTTTACAGAGAATTCGCACAAGGCAAGCACTCTCATGTTAGGCCAGAATAAGTGGTACAAGGACACCAAAGGTCTCTCTGAAGAACTTCGGTGTTGATTGTGAGACATGGGACATGCTAGCATAGGACTCCATAGCATGGCATGCCCACATCAAAGAAGGTGCTGTGCTCCATGAGCAAAGCAGAATAACAGTAGCAAAGAGGAAATGAGATGCATAAATCTAGAGACATTCCCATCCCAAATGTTCAAAAGGACTATATGTGCCCAACCTGTCATAAAGCCTTCCATGCTTGTATTTGAACTGATCAGCCTCAGTCAAACATTTTGTACCTTGACCTTAACATCATGATGTTATTGATCCTCTCCAAGTAGAAATGATGAGCCGAACCACACAATACATTTATTCCATACTTAGTTATATATGTAATTGTGGTCCCCCTTATTAGAATATAACCGCTATACAAGTAAGGATTGTTTGATTTATTATTTGTATCCCTATGACCTAGCATAGTGCCTGAAACATAAGAGATGCTTAATTAATACTTGCTGGTTGTTTGATGTAGTTCCTTTGTAATATTGGACATTTATAATTTGGGGGAAGGGGTGACTTAGGTTACTCCTCATTCAAAACAGCTGTGTACCTAGACTTGCAGTCCAGGACCAGTTAATCGCTAAGTTTGCTTTCTGAATAAGGAAAAAATAAAGTTTCAACTACAGAAATTCATTGACAATTGTTAAGGCTTGTGGAGAAAATGGTTGCAGTAGACAAACTATCAAAGTGACAAGCAAAGTTTCCATAAGAAAGTTAGGACAATAGCAATGCTGCTAGAAGCCTTGCAAATATAAACTAAGGACTCTATATTTTACATAGGCAGCTTGGTGGAAGAGCGAACAAAGCTCTAGACCTGGAGACATGATGACATGAGTTCAAATCCTAACTCATACACTTAGTAGCTATGTGACCTGGGTAAGTCACTTAACCACTATCTGTTTCAGTTTCCTCATCTGTAAAATGGGTATAACAATAGAACCTCCCAAGATGGTTGTGAAGATCAAATGGGACAATATTTGTAAAGGGTTTTATAAATATTAATGCCAACACTGTGTTATGAGTTTATGTCTGAAAGAGGAAGAGCATTTCAGCTAATTTAAATCTAACAAATATTTATTAAATGTCTCCTAAATGTGAAACACTTTCTGAGTCCTGTGGAAATAAAAGCTATACTAAACATAGTTAAAGATGTGATTAAGGTAGAGCAATTTAAACTTCTCCTAGGATACTGTCATTTAAATGGTACAAAAATTTAATGACAGAGCTTAGTACTTAGAAAAATAAGTTTTTTTTAATAGGTTATTTTTTAATAATACCCACCTGAGAACCTGTACTGCAACTAATCCTCCCTCTTGTTTAACAAAATTTGTCTTTAGTGTGTATTGCATTTTTACAACATTAATTACAAAGTTCAGTTGGAGGAGCGATTCATGCTGCTTACTCCAGGTGCCGAAATCATTAGTTATAATTTCAGACACAGATTGTGTCTTTGATGGAACTCACTGTGTTTGAGAGGGTGATAAGACAGCTAATTTATAGGAAAAAAATGAGTGGTAGGCTTCAGTGTAACTCAACAATTATTTATTGAGAACCTACTATATTCCAGGTAGTATATAGCATTGTGACTGAGAGCTGGCCTTTCAAGCCACTGGCCTCGTTTCTATTCCTCAAGCAAGAAACTCCATCTCTTGCCCTCCTAGTATTTTCACTGGCTGTCCCCTTTGCCTAAATACTCCCCTTCTTCGAATCTGCATCCTGGATTCCCTGGCTTCTTTCAAGTGTCAGCTAAAATCTTGTCCTACAAGAAGCCTTTCCTGATTTCCCTCAGTTCTAGTGTCTTCCTTCTATGGATTATCTCCAATTTATATATCTTGTTCATACATAGTTGTTTTCATCTTGTCTCCCCCGTCAGACTGTGAGCTCCTTGAGAGCAGGGACTGTCTTATGCCTTTCTTTATATTCCCAGGCCTTAGCACAGTGTCTCAGAGAACTTAATAAATATATCTAAAATAATCGAGTAAAATGCAAAACTTGTGATTGGAAGTTCTGAGCTTGTGAAAATAATTACTTTATAGGTAATATACTTGTATATGGTCAATCTATAACTGGGAATAAAAATTGTCTCATGACAGATGCTTCATTCTAGATAGTCCAGGTCATAGAATACAAAGGCAAGATTGACCCTATCCTAGATTTCTAAGAAATGTTTCCTGATGGATGACCCTCTTTTTGAATTTCTCATCCTACCTAAGCTAGAAACTAATATTACTGAATTTAGCAGGCTACATAAACACAGAAGATGGGAATAAAAGTTGGCAATACTATTTACATTTATAAAAACAAAGGCATGGATTCATTTTCCTCACAGTCCTTTCAGTCACCAAACAAAATAACAATTATAAGGCTTCCAGGGAAATTTCTCCCCATATTCATGAGCCATTAAAAAAGAACTTTCAATTGATTCACTCAGGAACTATGTTTTTTTTTTTTTAAGGCAACTGGGGTTAAGTGACTTGCCCAGGGTCACACAGCTAGTAAGTGTCAAGTGTTTGGTCTGAGGCCAGATTTGAACTCAGGTCCTCCTGACTTCAGGGCTGGTGCTCTATCCACTGTGCCACCTAGCTGCCCCAGGAACTATTTTTTTTAAAGAATTAATAACTCACTCATCCTCAGGATAATAATCACCAACAGAGAGCCCAGCTGATCTTCATTCCTCAACCCCACACAGATAAGATTTGGGACTTAAAAGAAGACCAAAGAATTTATGAAGAAAAATTCGTACAAAATCATGGTCAAGTTCTCAATCAGAAATCAGCATATTACACCCCAAGAAGGCCTAAGTGCCCAAATTGATTAGTGAGTTTGCATTTCTTTCTATCCTCACCCCCTTCTAAATCAAGACAATCAGGATAGAAAATCAATGCCCTCACCTAGGACTGTGCCTTGGTATTGTCATCCCTTGTACCTTCCACCTCCCCTCCCCTATTCCAGCTCCCAAGAATGCTAGACTATAGAACTCTAGGTTTTCCTTGGATTCATCATGACCTACCTGCAACTAGACACCAAAATAAATCCAAACATGTTTATATTGAGTGATTCCTTCAAATCTGGCACTATGTCCTCGAATAAAGAACCTTAATCCTCACAAAACCCCAGCCTCCATCACATCAACCTTATATCTGGCCCACTCCTCCACCTCCCAAATGAAACATTTTCAAGGAGATAAAATACTTGTCTCCTTCAAACAGGATGAGGGTGACATGTATCCAGCACATACCTGACGAGAAAGAGCTTCAGCTTGTGCCAATGTATTAATAGAGGGAATGTTGCTGCCTTCAAAGTTATTTCTCCTCGTGCTTATCCTGTCTCGTTCATTTTGCACAGCTAGAATGCAATAAGTATATGGCTTAACTACTTGAAATTTGTGTGCATGAAAATATGTGTCAGGGATATGGGATTTGGAAATAATAATAGTTTACCCTTATGTAATATTGTAAAGTTTACAGAGTCTGCATTATCTCATTTGATTCTAAAGCAACATTAGGGAATAGATAATTTATTTTCCCCATTTTACAGAAAAGGAAACTGAAAGTCAGAGAAGTTAACTTACTTGCCCAAAATCACAGAATTAGTCAGCAGTAGAGCATGAATTTGGACCAAGATCTTCAGATTAGAAGTTGATCTCTTTTTCCCAATACTACATTGCTACTAGACTTGAGTGATTGAGAGCCCTGAGAAAGGCAACCCTGAGAAGTGGGAAGGTATGACTTATGTCCTTGTAGCTAGTATTTGTCACTTTAAAAAAGTAGTAACAGACAGCCTTGTCTCCTGACATAATGAAACACTGGGATTTAAGGTGTCTCATGTTACCACACACTGCAGAAAATGTTGGGTCAGCCAATTCTGCCCTGCTATATTTTGAATAGTCTGCATTCTACTCCTTTCTAAGTTAATAAAACTATAAGATAACTAGAGAAAGGGTATTGTCTGTGATGCTGGCTAGGTCAAGAATAGAACATATTCACTGTCAGAAGATGTGAGTCATGGAAATTCTAAAATGTCTTTTCTTCCTGTGAAAAACACTAGAGCAAGAATAGGAAATAAACTAAATCTATTCTTACGGTCATTTTAAGACTATAATCTTGTGGTTCTCCTTAGAGACCCTGAATTCCTGAAGAGTTTACTAACCATTAATGAAGGAAAAAGTTTCAAGCAGGTGCCTTTTTCCCTCTAGACTCCAGATGGGTAGAGAAAAAAGGATTCTTGAAAGCTAAGGAATCTCAGTGACTACACTTGGATCCCCTGAGAGAAACCAAGCTTACTTCGTTTATCTGGGGAGAGGGTAAGACAAATTATATAAAATTATATTTCCCATAATTGCTTATCTAGATTTAGGCAAAGAAGGAGAAAGAAGCATGATCATATATATGTCTTATATGAGTCTTGGCATCTTTTAGGTGCAGTGTATACAATCATATCTACTTTATGCAGTCCCCAAGCAGGCTTTCACTTGAAATCACCTAGATAAGTGATTTTGGAGACTTGAGTTACCTAGATTGACTGACTACACTACAGATAGATAGATGGTAGATGAGATAGAGAGAGACAGACAGACATACAGAAAGACACAGACATGTGTGAGTATTTCACCCTTTGCTGTGGAGATCTAGTATTAAATGGTGAGGCCATTTGATCTGACTATTTTAATAAAGTAAACTTACTTCACAGCAGAATTTAGAAGAAGCCTTGCCCAATACTACTCATCAATATAATATAGTAAAAAGAGCACTAGCTCAGCAATCAAAGGGCCTGAGTTTGAATCTTGATCCTGCTACGTATTGGGCAAATTCCTTAACTAACCTGGGTTACAGCCTCCTTATCTATCAGATTAGATAATCACTGAGATTCCTTACAACTCTACATTCTATGACATATTAATAATCAATTATGTGAGCTAAGGAGGGAACCCATGGTTCTTAAGAGACCACCTTTTATACTAGAAAGACTCTAAAGTTTTTTAATTGTTAAAGAATATTTACTGGTAGATTCCAGCTTTTTTTTCTCCTAAAGGACTTCTTAATTTGCAGAGGAAAACATTTATGTAAAAGGATAAATAAGAAGTTAGATGATGACATTCTGAGTTTCCTTTCAGAGTAATCGTTAGATAAAAATTTTAAAAATCTAATATTGTGGAAAACTATTCAATCTTCTTCCATCTTCTGAATTAATTCCTGACCACTTTATATTTTCATAAAATAATTTTCATATGACTCTATAGAAAATGTTAAGCATATCTACTTTTAAAACCTTCTCACTGGAATTAATACTTAAATAGTAGCTCTGGGTAAAGGCTATGATTTCCATATTATTGTAACATAAAAGTAACTATTTACATTTCACATATTCTTAACATGCAATTAAATATACACATAATATATATGTACATTAAAAAGTCAAGTGCTTCAATTTTTTTTTTTGGAAGCAACCTGAAGAATTAAATTTGGTGGTCAGGCTGGATGGGAATCATTCACAAAGTCACCAGTTAATCTTATAAGCTACTAACTATGACCTTTTAGAAAGATTTTGAGAAAAAACTGCATGCAGAAGAATATTATTACTGAAGGTTATGTGCTTTTAGTTTTTTACCTTCTTTTTGTGGGGGTGGCACTGTGCTGACAAAATTAAGTGAAATTTGGGAAATTTAAACAAAGTCACAGGAATAGAAAAATGACTATAGAAAGATTTTCGATGGCAAATTTATCACTTTGGGGTAGAAATTCTTTGGTTAAATGCTTCATATAAGGACCTTGCTTTTGTGTATGGCATACATGTTGTGAAACTAATAGAAAATATTATTCCTATGATGGGGTTTTCAAATGCTCTGATTTTATTTAACACATAACACATATAACACATAGGTTATACATAACCTACTTAGAATATAGGAAAATACATCAGACAGATCATTTGTAATGTATTATTTAAAGTGAACTATATGATACCATTATTTAAAATAAAGAAATAGACAATTCATTTTTAGAAGCATGTTGGTAAATTCAATATAACTTACAGATAGAGTTATTTTGTCTTTTCCTAACACTAAATTTCAGATCTCGTTTGGGCAACGATTATGTTGTTAGGCATATTCTGACAAACGAAACATTACCTTCTTTCTTCATTCCTGCTCGGAAACACTTTTTTAAACGACAATATCTACACTGATTCCTCTTGTCTTTGTCAACAACGCACTGTCGGCTGAACCTATTTCATCAAGAAAAAGATGATAAATTATTTATTCTTCTGTTAAGTTCTATGTAGTAAGAGAAGTAAACTAATAACACTAATGTGTGTGTATACATATATATATACACATATAGCATATATATGCATATTAAAATTAAACATATTAAATTTTTTATTAAATTTACATATAGCATATTCATATATATTAAAAACTGTGTTAATAGATGCATAATGAAATGGGATACAATGAAAAGACTTAGTCATTCCTATTAACTTTGACCTGTCTATAGGATACCATGACCATCTCAGACCTGGAAAATATAAGTCCCAACCTTCATGGAGCCATTATAATGAGTTATAACCATCACGTTTTTTATATATTTATTGCCATATAGACATGATAATAGCCAGCATGAGTCATTAAAAGCCATAAGATTCCTCCACCATGATACTGGTAGAACAGAGAGGATCCAGCATCACACAGGGCAAAGGAGCAGTGTTGAAGAACAAGCAGTGGACCGGGAATAAAAATTCTTACTTCAAGTTTTGCCTCTGATTCTCATTCTGTCAGTGGTATGATAATGGATAAACCACTTAACTTCACTGAAGTTATTTGTGAGAATGTAGTATATAAATATATGTGTATATATATGTGTATGTATATGCATATACATATATATGTTATTCTCATGCATCTAATCTTTTTTCTATAATTAATTACAAATCAAAAGATGTTAAAAACAACTTAAAGAAGTTTAATTTAAATGTAAAAGTATAAGTGTGCTTAATAAAAATATTTTGAAGTGGTCATCTTCATAATTGTTTTTCCTCCATAACTTCATTAATTATTTCCCATCAGAGTAAGCATATGTTCTTATATTGTAGAGCTCAAAAAAATTGCCACTTAAAATAAAAATTGTTTGAGACTGAGAGGTAAAGGTATTATAAAGCAATTCAAGAAAGTGAAGTTGGTTTTCTCTCAGGTCAGGAAGAAAAAACTAACTCAATCAGGTGATATCTTTAATAAGGTCAAAAGGCATCTATAAAAAAGGAAATTCAGGTGAGCAAAATTCTAGGTGAACAATAATACTGATTAGAGAAAGAGATAAACTATCACTGTCAATCCAGAAGTGTCACAATATTTATGGTGGGACTAGAGTTTAAGGTAGAAAGTTAAGGAAATGAATTTGAAATGAGCACTAATTTTTAAATTTTTCCAATATTTTCTGTGTCTCACAACCCTTGTTCATTAAAAATAAAAAACCAAACCCTAAAGTAAATGAAAGTGTAGAATTTGCCAATTTCAAAAGTCATTTAAAAAAATGATTGATTCTATGGACAGCAAGAATTGAAGGTTTCACAAATTGGGAATATGCCTTTACTCCTGAAATTCACTACAGTAACCCTTACCCCCTTTTAAGAGAAAATAGATAAACTTCTGCTAATTGAGTGTGTTTCTCTTGCCCTTTCATGAGGTTTAAGCCTAAATTTGTTTCAATCCCAATGGTCCAAAGAGGTATATTTCAACTTCTACAATAGATACCTTCCTAAGAAATTGGTTATGACTTAGGGGAGGGGGGATGTTAAAATTAATCACACTTCACATTTAATAGGATAATTTTATTTTTAAGGTGATCCCGTGATAAATCTAAAATTTTTCAGTTCTTCAAATCTAGATTGTCAGATATAAGGTAGAATTAAATTAAAAGTATTTTTAATTAAGCAAATTTTTAAATGTAAGAAAAGTTTCATTTTTAAATGTTATGACATTAGAAATACAGTGGCAGAACTCTTAGTAAATTTTTTTTTGAGAACTGGATATTAAAAGATTTAAGGGATTAAAGTAATATCATGGTGAATGGCACCGAAGCAAAATGAAACTTTTGATTTCTTTGAAAGCATTTGATTGGTTGCCAAGGCGGGGCATAATCATCTTGAATCTGCCTTTCATCAACAAAAGAAACATAGCACATTCTTCCCATTCAGATCTCACCTCTTTTTAAATGGCACATATTTATACAACATAAATACAACATACATGCAAGACCTGGTTTAACTAGACAGCCAAAGAGTCGTACTCTATTACTGTGATAATTTAATAGATGGAATAGGACTAATAGTTCACATTAACACAGCAGTTTTGTTTTTCTCACAAAACTCCTGTGAGATAGGTACCATGAATATTATTGTCCTTGTTTTACAAAGGACACTAAGAGCTAGATAGATTAAGGACACATTGGGGGGTGGGTGGGGGTGGGTGGAGGGCAAGAGTCTTATTATTCTTTCCACAACAATAGACTTCTCACATACAAGAAAAATGTGACAAGTCTCAGAGTTACATAAGATTTTTAAAAATTGGCCTGTGAATTTTATTTCCTATAGTCACAATCTAATTTGAATAACATCAACTTACTTGAGGAAAAGGTATGGTAGAGGAGATTAATTTTACCTTTTAGTGCTATAAGTTAGCATTTTTCCTGAACTAGTACTAACAAACATACTAGTATTATATACCTTTACATTGTACTTAGAAAAACCTACTGTGTGCTTGTGTATATAAGCTATATGCGACTCATTGTTATAGAAATGTTTCTCATACAAACCAAGGAACCTAGAGTTCATCTAGTATATTGCTGTGTTAAAGTTAATTCTGCAAAATGCGACATTTCAAGTACCTGCAGGAATAAACATGACTCTTTCGAATACTCCGTCTGAAGAAACCTTTGCACCCATCACAACTTGAGGCACCATAGTGCTTTCCAGTTGCTCGATCTCCACATATGGCACAAAGACTGTTCATCCCGTTGTCTGGAGTATTCATTCTGTTTTGTTCAGTGGCAGAACCGTCTTGTAGGGAAGAAAATGACATACTCTCACTGAAGTTCATTGCTTGTATTGATTTCTTCAGTAAATTTATCTCACATATTCTTCACTTTTTAACCAAATAGTCATTGAGGTCTACTAAGAATTCAGAGCTATTTAATGTAGTTAACAATAAACCAGAAAATCACATAGTTTTGGAGCTGGTAAGAGCTTTGGAGAATTCCTTTCCAAGTCTTTCATTTTGTATATAGTGAAAGTAAAGCCTAGAGAATGACTATTCCAAGGTCACACAATAAGTTAGAAACAATTGGAAGCAGAACCCAGGATTCTCAGCTTTCACTCCACTGTTCAGCCCACTGTTCTCTATCGCATATTTAAAATCATTTTTGAAAAAAAAACTTTTGACCAACATATAAGACAATATATTGTTCACAATAATTTTTTTGTCTAAAAAAAGGAATAAATGGAAGAATTTAGATCATTAGAAATTACACATTTCTACACAACCTTATAAGCACTTATTCCTTTTTCAACTGGAATATTCTGATAATGGCTTATGGTATGGCTTGTGAGAGTACAAGATGAAGCATTTTACTGACTTTTAGGAAATATTTGTTATTTATTGGGACTATATATATTTTCTTTTCTTTAGAGATGAAAAATTACAGAAGTTAGAGATAAATGTTTTCATTGTAGCTGTTGCTAAATAATCTCATGTAGAGTACAGTATCATGTATATTATCCATCACTACATGTATTGACTCATAGGTAAGGAATTAAAATTTAAATGAAGAACTTTAGTACAAGCTTAGTTAAGTCACATCATTTTCCTTGCTGAAAACAAACAAACAAATGAACAGAATACCTCAGTTAAGAAAAAGGTCTTTTAGAAAAAAATTTACTTCAGGAAATCATGTTTAAAAGAACACAATTTTTAGAATATCAATTTATGTATGGTACTAGATTCGCAATTATATAATCTTATGGCATGCTAAAATATTATGAATGCCTGGGTATAATCACCTTCATCAACCTTGAATTCCACACAGATACCCACAAATACTCTCATACAACCTCATAAATTATAACTAGTTAATACAGTTAACAGAATTATAATTTTGAAACCCTTCTCAACAGGATTGTTTATCTGATAAAACATACTGTCAATTTAAAAGATAATAGCAAACTAAATTTCACAAAGACATTTACCATTAGTAACTGCAAACTGATTTAAAGTTAAAATGTTACACTAGAAAAATACCAAGAGCTTCTTTTAGCTAAATATTAGCTTGTAAAGAGCCATTCTGATAAAGACTTTAATCCCTTCCGTATTATTGATCTATAGAAAAAAGGTAAATTAGTATTTATGTGTATAGTATTTTCTCATTAACAGCAAATAAGACTTCTAAGGATGATAACTAATGAGACCAGACCATCAGCAAAATTTCCACAATATCTATGAAACTTTGTTTTACTTATAATGTCTGATATTGCCCCCCAAAAATTAAGGGATAGCCAATAATTATTACTTATTGCTATAACTCACAGTCAACTAAGTAGCTGCTGCAAACCTCCTCTCCCTATTCACATCTAACTAGCTTATGATAGGGAACTGTAGTTGCTTTATTACCTTGACCAAGAATTTTCTTTTTCAAATAAGCCTAGCCTTAATGCTGTTAACTTTGATTTTGTGATGAAATGTAAAGACCCTGATTTGTTGCCATAAAAGCAGTTCCCATATTCTCCGCTAATACAACATTCCACTACCAAGTTGTTTTGCCCAGTTTAACCTTTCCTGTTAGCGTCTTCTTTTATGACACATCAATGAGTAGATGAGAACTTACCACTTGAATTGTAGAGAATCTGCATAGTTTCAAACTCCAAAGTAGTATAAGTTGGGTCTAAGACTTCGCTGTAGTTTGCTATATCCATGTCCAAAATTGGTTCTGATCCCCTCATCATTGAATTGGGAAAATGACAAGTAAGTGGCCCAGGAGCTCCAGGGTAGGTAGTATATGTCTGTTTTGCTTGCAATCCGTGATTGATCATCCAAAGTTAACTGTAACTTAGTGACTTATGTGCTGCAATGGGAGGAGCTGTAAAACTGTAAACTGTTTCTGCTAGGCATGTTCTGCTTGTTGGTTTTTTTTTCCTTCTTTTATGGTCTATGAAAGCAATTTCTTGTGATAATCTTGGAATGTTTCATGGAACAACAGCGCTTATCAGAAATACTTAGTGGACTAGCAAGATTTCTTAAATTGATTTATGGCAAAAGATAACTGATGTCATTGACAGAGAGGTTGGAAAAAAATAACTTTGGGGTTTGAAACTGCAATTTGAAATTGCATTAAAAATTTTGAAATTAACCTGGAGGAGTAGTTGAAACTTGATAATAATTATAAATGTCCTTATTCATACCATATTTGAATCTAAGAAACACTTTTAGGGATATTGAGGACCTCAGATAAGGTTAACTGTCTATGACTCAAGCTGAGATTAGAACTTCATGATTCTCTTGCCAGGTATAAAGCCCAGGATCAAATGTTCCCACTTACAAAGTGAGGATGATGGTCTTTAGGCTTTTAGAAAAGGATTTGAGATTTTAAATGAAAGGAATTTTGTGGTGTAAAAGTTGTGTTCATATGTGTTGATCTAGATGCCGTGATCATCATCATGAGAAGCAATGTGGAAGAGTAGAAAATGCATTGGATTTGGAGTCAGAGGACATGGGTTCAAATCATGCCCTATTACTATTTAAATCACCTCAAGTAAGTCACTTAAGGTCTACGTACCTCAGTTTACATATGGCAAATGAGGGGGTTGGTCTAGATGGCATATAAGGTCCTGAAGAGACCTAATTCTATTATCTCACGATACAAATGAATTATGTTTTCACAGAAATTCAAAGTTTTAACTGTTCCATATTTATGGAATGAAGTGCAGAAGAATAATGGAGAATTTTAGGACCATCTCTAGTTCAGCATATATAAAATCTACAAGATTAATAACAATAGGTTATATTTATTTTTGTTCAATACAATTCAAATTAATGAAGATTTTCATTGCCTAAGAAAAGTTAGGTTCTGTTTTTAGGCAATGGGGATACAATGACAAAACAAAAAACAGTCTTTGACCTCAAAGAGCTTATGTACATCAAAATGAGGCAAATTTTAACAAATATTTTATTAATTTGTTAGATTAGTTGGCACTTCAACTTTCTTAAGTTGCCTTGTGCCATGAAATGAAAATACTACACATTATTCCTTCCACTAAAAAATATTTTTTTTATGATACTACCTTAATTCTGGTGGTAATCTTTCAATTCAAATTCATACTTCAATTCAACTCCAAGGCATAAGACTTTTTTTTAAAACCAGTACAAATAAAAGTCTGCTAGATACAAAGAGATTTAAAAAATTCTTGTTCTTACTTGGCATTTTATTGAATTCCATTGCCCTTATCTATTAAACAGAAGGCAATCCAGAAAGTGTGAATTTGGTGTAACAGCGCACAATAGCAATAGTGTGATGCTTAGGTATAAAAATACAGTCCTGATGTTACATGGACCTCATAACTTCACAAATGATCAGGCATTTTGAAATCCAAGAATTTTTTTTTTAAGAGCTAAAAGGGACCCTTAAGAAAGCAAATTTAATCCCTTCACTTTTTTAGATAAAGAAACTTGGACCTGGAAAAATCCAATGACCTCTCCAAATGCAGGCAGTCAATATTTAGAAAAGCTGGAAATAGACCCAGTTATTTCAAATCCTAAAGCAGTGCTCTTCCCACTGTATGTCCTACAATACTTAGGAATTACAGTACATACTTTTTCAGGGGAGTTTGCATTATTATATACATTTTAATGTTTCCTTTTGAATTAATATTAATATTACTTATATTTCCTCTTTCAATTTGATTCTTCCTTCCTCTCACTAAACTCAACAAGATTCACTTCAGAATATTTTTGTATGCCAGAAGAGAAAATGAAAGAATAGAATACAGCATTCAGAAAGCTTACAATTTTACAACACGTCCCCCTGCAGCACATAAGTTACTCAGTTACAGTTAACTTTGGATTATTAAGAACAGACTGCAAGCAAAACAGACATCACATGCCACTCTAAATCCTCTGGACCATTTGCTTGTAAATGTCTCAATTCGATGATCAGGGAATCATAACTAACTACGGACATGAAAATGATAAACTACAATAAAGTCTTAGACTCAGTTGATACTACTTTAGAATAATTATCTTTTATATGTATATCTATTTCCTGACTGGAAGTTCTAATAGTTACATTTCATTACAAAAACATTTTAAGAATTATTTAACGAGTATTTTCTATCCTTTTTAGCTTAAAATGAAAATATAATCCAATATAGAAATGTCAGAAATTATTCTAAAACCTATATGGATAATAGTATTTCAGAAAATTTCAAAAAAGCAGCAAAAAAAAATCAAAATAAAACAAACAAACAAAAAACAAACCTGGTATTATCTAATTATAAACATTCACTTAGGCTCAACATGTCCAACGTTTTAATCATCATTCTTTCCCTAATAGTGGCCTTTCTTCAATTTTCCCATTCTTTCTCATAGGCCTACCATTCTCTGTATCACCTCAGGCTCCAAATTGTAGAGTTATATTTGGCTGCTTCTTCTATCTCACTCAACAAATAGAATCAGTTGCTAAGTCCTGTTGATTCTACATTCACAGTATGCCTCACATCAAATTTTCATCCTAGTTGTTAAACTCATCACCTCTCAACTAAACTATTAAAATAACCTCCCATATGTTCTCCATGACTTCAGTCTCTTTTTCTCTTGAATATTTCTTTCCCACAGTTACCAAAAGATTTTCCTAAGGCATAGTATGTTGTCATGCCACCTCTACTCAAAAACACTCAGTGGCTAACTATTGCCAGCAAAATAAAATGAAAACTCTACAGCTTAAATGTATGTTCCTCCATAATCTAGCTCCAACCTAAGTTTCTAGCTTTGTTTCACAACATCCTCAAAAATACACCCTATAGTGCAAACAGAAATACTAGCTATGCTGTGAACCTAATATGCCAACTTTTGCCTCCATGTAATCTCTCAGAGCCAACCCACATGCCTGTGATTCATTTTATCAACATCTCTCACTTCAAGATTCAGTTCAGGTGTCCTCTCCTCTATGAAACTTTCTTAATCCCCACCCATATACAAATGAAAGTTTTTCTTCCCTTTTTCTTGAGCAATTTGTACCTTTCTTTTGACTCATCAAATTTCTATTATATTATAATTACCTGAATAATTATCAAATGATCCCAAGTAGAATATAAGCTCTTTGAAGGCAGAAAGTTTTGAAGTGTATGTATATTTATACATATATATATAATACATATTATATATAATGTGTGTGTAATACATATACACATATACATATATGTGTGTATTTGTGTATATATGTATGTATTGTAGCACACAGATGGAAGGTTTAAATAACATGAAAGTTTAAGCTCACTATTTCCATCTCTCTCTCTGTGTCTCTCTCTGTCTCACACGCACACACACACACACACAAAATCAAGTTTTATTTTTTAAAGATTTATACTCATGTAATACTTATAGCAGCAGTTCATTATGAGGAACATGTTTTTTGAATTGTAAATATTACGAAGGTACACTTACATTTATCACAGAATCATAAAGCTTCAGCAGTAGATAGGACCATAGAGGGCATTTAGTTTACTCAATACCTGAAGAATTCCCTTTACAATATTCCTGATGAATGGTCACAGCCAGGACCTTTCTTTGAGGACTGCATATAAGAGGGAGTCCATTACCTTCTGACATAGCTCATTCCATTTCATCATTGATACAATTATTAACAAGCCCCCCCATTATATCCAACCTACTTCTGCTTCTTTGTAACTCCCAATCACTTCTAGTTAGTCATCACAGGCCAAGTGGAACAACTATTATATCTCTTCAACATAAAAGTTCTTGAAATACTTTAAGACACTTCTCTCCTGTAGGCTAAACATTCAATTTATCCTTGCACATGATGAACTCTAAATCTTTCTCCTCTGAATATTTTTAACTCTGAATAGTTTTTCTCCTCTGAATATTCTTCAGCTAATCAATGCCCATCCTAAATTATGGAGCCCAGTAGACACAATACTCCAGGTGTGGTTTAACTATGATAGAGTCAAGTAGAAGCATCATCTTCTTAGTCCTGGACAAAATGTTTTCCTTATTAATTTAGCTTTTGGTCCCATATTTATTTATATTGAGATTACAATTCAACTTAAATTCCTAAATCTTTCAGATGAACTTCTACTTAGCCCTGTCATCCCAATTTTCCATTCATGAAGCTGATTTTTGAACCCAATTGTAAGATGTGACAGTTAGTCCTATTGAATTTCATCTTAGCAAATCGATCCCAATGTCCAGTTGCAATTTTTTTTTAAAGAATCCTGACATTGTTATACATTATGTTAGAAATTTCTCATAGCTTTATGTCACCTTCAAGTTGGAAAAGAACGCCATTTACAGAGCTAAGCCCAGATCCCTAGGGTACTCCTTCAAAGTTGATAGTAAAAATGTAATAACAACCCTTTGGGTCCAAGTATTTAACCATTCCTTAATCCACATAATTGCACTTTCATTTAGACCAGAACTCTCTATATTTTCCGTAGCAATGATGTAAACATTGGGAAACTATATCTCCGATGCTTTTCAGTAATGTGCTATTCTAGTAACTGTCCAAAAAAAAAAAAAAGGAAGTTAGGTTCTTCTTGGATGACCTGTCCTTCATGAATCTATATTGACTCTGTAAGATCAGTTTCCTTTTATAAATGTTCATTAACCAAAACATTAATAATATTTACCAGAAATCCCAGTCAAGCTAAGGTCAGTAGTTTGTAGTATGTAGAATCTATTCTCATTTTGTATGAAGTAGGACATTGGCCCTTTT